AATCTCTTTGGTTCTTGTCATTTTGATTACAATGTGTCTTGGTATATTTATGTTTGAGTTTATTTTGTTTGATACTCTTTGTGCCTCCTGAATCAGTGTCCAAGTCTCCTCCTCAGAATAGGGAAGTTCTCTGATCTCTTCCATCTCCCTCCCTTCATGTTGAGGTAACATGGTTACAAGTATTAATACTCATACCTTGGATATGAAATCATTCTTCCTCCACTATCATTAAAGTGCCAAAGATCCCCCATTATTGTCTTCTTTTTTACCATTAAAATGTTATTTTTGTGATAGTATTGTTTTATACTTGTGGTGCTGGTATACAATATCTATCCCCTGTGTTGGGCTCCCTCCACCATTATAGAAAGGTCTCTTGTTCCTTCCTCCTAGATCACAGATCTATTAACCGTATCTCAGGATTTTTTTCCACTGGGGATCACAACCGAGCATTTAATTGGGTGACCCGAAGCATAGTTCTCCTGACCTATCTTTCAGTCTCCCAATTCAGAATAAAGATATCAATAATGTATGCAAGTTTTATCAATTCACCTTCACTTTGTCTTATAATAAAGTACCGCCATAAGATTTTGAAACCTGAAAACAATTGTACAATTGTCATTTATATAGAGAAAACAGACTAAATTAGGGCAATCCCAGGACACTTTAACAAGAAAAATATAGCTTAAGTGTAAGGAAGCAACAAACCAAAGTGCAAAAATGCAAAGAGATCAGCACACCAAGAGGGGACTAATCATAAACATAGACATGAGTGGTAAGAGGTTACCAGAGCTAGATGAAAAGATAATTGAGATGATCAGGTTATCTTCGGAAGGGCTGGGGCATTTGCTATTGAGAGGAACAAGTCAACCTGAAGCACATAGACCCCATGAAAATAAATACCTTAATACTAATCTTATCTCTCATTCTGCTCTGCTTCTGGGACATCTCATTGGTTGAATCCAATCAGAAGCCAAAGGGCAGGGGAATACCCTGGGTCAGAAACAAGGATGAAGCATTAAAAATTCTATGTGGATCTGGAGTAGAAAAACAAGATATTTGGCACAAACTGGGTTGATGTTGGAAATAGTAATTTTTTGGTGTTAGGTATTGGTAATAGTCGGAATTTATAAGAAATACAGAATTAAGGTTATACAATTTTATCTTATCCACAGTGGATAGATTGGTGAGTCAGCTTCTTATGGACAGCTTCCACTGACAAAAGTCTCACAAACTGCCCTAGCCAATAAGTGAGATTTGGTAATAAAATATATAATAGCATACATCTTATTTGGAATATATTGTAGTAACTATATATCTTTCTGATTGGCTTGGGCTTTCTATTATGGTGCACTACAGTTCTAAGTATCCAAATAATGTTGATGTGGAACTTGAGTGGCAGGAATATCTGAAATTATTACCTTTTGAGTCCCAACTTAAGAGCATTTCTACCATATAAACCTTAAAACTATCTTGATATATTCCAGAAAATATTGCTCTAAACTTGAAACAAGATTAAAACACATTAAACACATTTTGAAGCTGCTTGTGTAGTCGAGCTTGGGAATGGTTTCTCTGTTAAAGAAGCCAAATAAAGTCCGGGCCAAAAAAAAAATAATTACTATTCTTGGCTTTTGTATTGGAGAAGTACAGGAAGTACTTACTATCAGAGCCAAATCCTAATAAGGCTAAGAAAATATTTGAGAGCAAAAGCTGTCCCTTATTTTGGATACAGACTTTGGAAAACTGGGTCACTTCTTGTACTACTTGCTATTGCTCTTTTGTTGAGGTTAAAAGAATACACTAAGTTTACAACAAGGAATCTAGAGGCATGACTTCAGGCAGTTCCATCATCAACATTAATAATGAGCTCAACAAATTATTGCACAAATGTTTTGTAGGTAATGGTGCCCTCTTGTGATTAACATATGAATAATATTCCGGTGGTTTGGTATAACCAGTAATCATGTCAGTTTAAGCAAAGAAATTTCATTGGCACCATAAGAAAGACTAAATGTTCTTCTAATCTGGTCTGGTAAAGAGACACATTGCATAAAGTGTCCAATAAAGCCTCCATTGGATCTTTTTTTGGTATCTATATAGCAATCCTGACTTGTTTCATATATGTGTGTATATATGCATATGTGCATAAAATATTTGATTAAGCAAAATAACTCATTTTATATGTGGCAAAATCATTTATTAAGATCATCCCCTAACCCAACCACAAGTGATCCATGGGTAAAGAGCCAAGAGTAAGCCCCAAGCACAGCGAAGTGTGGTCCAAAACCAAAACTCAAAGCAGGAAATCATTGTAACTAATTGAGCAGTTATATCAGAATAATTTTTGTGCAAGGGACGGTCAACGACACTAAGATCCTGGAATGGATTGATTTCAGGTTCTGTAAAATTAAACATGCCTGAGGATATTTAGGGAATTTAGAAAACACATATATGACTTGCACATGCAACTATGAAAATAAAACGGCAGGTTATTTTTGAGTCAAGAATTTCAAATAGCTGAAAATGATGTGACAAAGACCAGTAACTCTGCATTAATGTTTGCAATGAAATTCACAGAACCACCTTTTTAAAAAATATTATTGAATCACTGTGAGATAGTTACAAGCTTTCATGTTTGGGTTACAATCACATAATGATCAAACACCTATCCCTCCACCCCGCCACCAATGTCCCTGGTATACCCTCCCTTTCCCACTCTCCCCTTGCCTCCATGGCAGACAATATTCCCCATACTCTTTCTCTACTTTTGGGCATTATGGTTTGCAATACAGACAATGAAGGGTTATCATGTTTGGTTCTTTGTCTACTTTCAGCACACATCTCCCATTCCGACCAATTCCTCAAGCCATCACTTTCTTGGTGATCTATCTATTCCAGCTGCCTTCTCCCCTCTGCTCATGAGGCAGGCTTCCAGCTATGGAGCAATCTTCCTGTCCCCGTGTATCTACTATCCTTAGGTGTCAGCTTCATGTTATGTTGTTTTATACTCCACAAATGAGTGCAGTCATCAATGTCTGTCCCTCTCTTTCTGACTCATTTCACTTAGCATGATACTCTCCATGTCTATCCATTTATAAGCAAAGTCAATGACTTCATCTCTCCTAACAGCTGCATAATATTCCATTATGTAGATGTACAAAAGTTTCTGTAACCAGTCATCTGTTCTAGGGTACTTGAGTTGTTTCCAGATTTTGGCTATTGTGAACAGTGCTGCAATTAACATATAGGTACAGATGTCATTTCCACTGTGATTTTTTGCATCCTCAGGATATATTCCCAGAAGTGGTATATGGAAGCTCAATTTCTAGTTTTTGGAGGACTGTCCACATTGTTTTCCAGAAAGGATGGACAGAACCACCGTTTAAAGCAAGTAGAAAAATGTGTGAGTGTGATGTGGTGTTTTCAGTTACAATTACCCATTAATATGCTTATTCATGTGACCGCAGGGAAAATACAAAGTAGTTGTCATTGTTCAGAATGAAAAATTTTATCTCTATGAATGTGAGCTTTAGATATTGTATAGATTCATGTCGAAGTATAAAATTATTCTGACCAAAAAAATAGAATGACAGTTAAGGTGCTTGTCTTTGCATGCTGTCGATCCCATTTCCAATCCCTGGCAACACATATGGTCCCCTAAGTACCCCAGGGGTTTCTCCTGTGCAGAGAGCCAGGAATAGCCCAGGAGTATCACAGAGTATGTACCACCCTCCCCTGCAAAATGGTGTAAATCTCAAAGTTTTAGTTGCTTCATATTTTATCTGTAACACAATTTTAATATAGAGGTTTTTAATATCTCTTTTAGAAGGTCTTTTGCTATTTTACGGAAGTACATGTGTTCATTCTTGATCATTAGGAACTCACTAATATTCTTTAAACATATTAATGAATTCTGAAAATAGAAGTCAATAGGTTTCTTTTCCCAGTCGGTAACAGAATGCTGCTAAAAATTATTTTTTTCCAAAAATACCTTCCAATAATTGGTTTTCTTCACTGAAAATATTTACATTATTATTTGTTTTCTATTAGTTATGATATAAAACAAATAGATAATCAAAGCTTAGAAATATTTCTTGGCTTGGAAATGTTCTAAAAATTATGTGAGGACACTATTTGTTGAAATACAGATGTGTAGTCTACTTGTGGATGAATAAATTTTTAGACATAGGCTGAAGTGAAGTCACACACAACAAATTATGCTTGCAACATATATCTTTATTAAACTGATACCAATGGAAAAAACATTAAGTGAGAAGATGATAGCTAGAAAAGTAAGGTATGACATTATGACAATAAAATTTTTAAAATTAAAAATAAAATAAGAAACATCAATTGGATTGTTGCTGTTAAAAAAAGTATAAACAATTATCATCTTCCCAGTTCTTGCACCATCAGAGACCACAGAACATTCTTAGTTAAGCACCAGTGTGAAGGATTTATTAATCTTTGTGTATACTTTTTCTCCAAATAATTGGATATAACCTCACTCAGTCAGAGTTGAGCAAAATCAAGATATAACAAAAATCAAAACAGAGGGCATCTACATTCCAATGTCTGAGAATGTAATAAAAGGGAAGTGACTTCATTTGATGTTATAATTTGTTCTGTAACATGGACATTTAAAATTCTTATTTGTGTAACCAAAGAAGACTTGTTCTTTTTAAAATTCAAATAATGAGCCATAGAGATATTAACAATGGGTATGTTGCTTGTCTTATATGCAACGAATCAAGTTCAAGCCCGGGCAACCCACCCATATGGTCTCCCAAACCCTGCCAGGAATGATCTCTGAGCACAGAGCCAGGGGTAAACTTTTAGCACTGCAGGGTGTACTCCCCTAAAATAAAAACTTAGTAATGGGCTAAACCTCAAATTAAATTACTCTTTTATAATTTAATGTTAGAGCATAATTCTTACTTTGATAAAGTTGGAGAAAATGCCTTGCTGTTTCTATTCTTAGTTTTGCTATATTTTTGTAAAAAGTGATTCAAATCAAGTCACATGTAAAGAAATGAACATGTTGAGCAAAAAAGTTGTTTACATTATATATACATCCCTTATAGACAAAAATAAGCTCAACACATTTACACTAAAAGTTTGGGATACAACAGGATTAGTAGCACCATAAAAATCATTCTTTTCCCAAACTGTGGCCTTCTACTCAGTGCAAGTCTTCTCTTAATTGAATTTTAATGTGTTGTTTTAGTTACTTGGGAAATATATAATATTCATATTATAATCTTGGAGAAAGTCACACTTAACCCAAAAAGCAAATTTATTTTCTTATTTCTTATGCAGAATAGAGACTTTGCTCTGGCACATTGTTGAGGTACATTTAAATCTTTGTGTTTACTAGCCAGCATGTTCTTTTGGTCATATATAGTAGCACCATTAGTGAAAGCAATTGTAGATAGGAAAAGTCAGACAGTGTACACTGGAAATTTTATATATACATCAACATGTATATATATGTATATGTATATATCACAGTTATTAACCACAGGCATTCTTCAAAATGTTATGTCTTTTTCATACACACTTGACATCGGCTAATGCGTGTTCTCAAGTCTCCTGCTTTCAGCGTTTCTGACTGAGGCTTGCTGGGAAATAAGAAACAAGAAAATCATATTAGACCTTTTTTAATATTTAAATTCTATTATAGTTTCAAACTCATTCCACATTATTCTCTTTGTGTTTAAGTTATACTTATGGTTTAATTATTAACTTTGAAGGAATCTAATCTAGTGTAGTAACTGATATGTCCTAAGAGGTGAGAGTGGGCATAGATGGCTTTGTGACTCTTTTTCCACCACTATCATCTTCTTCCCTCCCTCTGATTAGCTTATTTATATACTTTTTAAATAATTGTGCAATAAGGAGAAACTGAGAAATGGATGGTGAAAAACTATAGAAATTACCGAGATATAGTATGTAATAAAATGATCAAGTGATAATAAAAGGGGCAACATATACATTTAAACTTTCCCCCCACAATAGCTTGAAATATCCTGAGCTACATGTAAAACATATAGTGTTATTCATTTAAGCACCTGGATGAGGTCTTTTAAAGCATCCTGGTAAAGAACACTACTAGACCGGTAGAGGAAATACAATTTGATTATAGCATCGATTCTCAGGGTAGTCTCCAGTCTACTTGGACTGCTTATGTATTGAGTGGTTACATAACCTTTCCTTGATTTGTTCTGCTACCAAAAGTTTATTAACATACCACCTAAAAACCCCATGCACCTAATATTAGTCAAGTCTGTTCTCCTGACCTGAGTCAGATATACAAGAAGAGGAAGCAAGTATAAAAGCTACAGTCCAATAAACTTCTAACATTCTTTGGGCATACACTATCCATGGATTCATGAATTTCCTCCACTAAAATCCCTAAAGGAAGCTTAGGGCCTGAACTAAACTAAAGCCAAAAGCACCTTACCTAAACATGTCTGAAATATCCACAGTTGCTAACCAAAAGCTGTAGGAGTTGGCATAGTAGTTGCAGGTACCTCTCCCATGACATTCAATGAAGGGAGATGAACGAAACTCTTCCAAGCAAGAGCCAGGGGAGGCCAGAGCTTGACCTGAACCTTCTGCTCCTGAACTTGAGTGCTATAAAAACGAAGAGAAATATCATGTGCCGCAAAAACTTAGTGAATACTCAAAGATCCGTGCTGAGTTTGACTAAAATTGTAATTCTAGAGAAGGAACCAGGGCCAGAGGTAAATGAATAATAGACACATCAAAGATGCCTAACAAAAGTAATAGGAAAAAATCAGTAGAAAGATTAAAAGGCCAGGAAAATTGCTCCATGGTTGGAAGCCTGCCTTATGAGCTGGGGGAGAAGACAGCTGGGATAGACAAAGGATCACTAAGTCAATGATGTCTGGAGGGATCGCTTGGGATGGGATGTGTGCTGAAAGTAGATAAAGGACCGAACATGATGGCCTCTCAGTATCTGTATTGCAAACCATAATACCCATATGTAGAGAATAAGAGGGAAATTTTCTTCCATAGAAGCAGGGGGAGGGTTGGGATGGGGAGGGAGGGATACTGAGGAAACTGATGGTGGAATATGTATAGTGGTGGAGGGACGGTGTCGATCATTATATGACTGAAACTCAAACATGAAAGTTTTGTAACCATGCGCATGGTGATTCAATAAAAAATAGAAAAATAAAAAAGTAAAAAATAAAATGAAAATTAACAATAAAAAAGAAAGATTATAAAATATTTTCTATAAAATATGTGGTACAAAATAGTGACTGGAAGAACCTTTTTGAAGTTCAAGCATTTCTACACAAAAGACAAGAATTCTTCATACTGGGAAAAATGTAGATGCTCTGGTTAGTTAACTATGAGGACAAAGACAAGAAAATGCATTTTATACCATCATGAAGGAATAACCAATCCAGAGAGAATCCCATTCCTGTGGACAATGGGGAATTTGGATGGTCTGACTATGGACTGCAATGACCATGGCTGGAGCTTCACATACTGCACATCTGGTAAAGAAGGGAGAAGGCAAACAATTTACAAAGTAAGCAGGTGAGAAACAGAAGTTCCTTTTTTTGGTATGTCTTCCTGATATAAAGGTTCAATCGGGTGTCTCCAATGAGCAAAGGAGAATAACGCACTTGAGGAATTTCTATCACTTAAGCCCTATCTCCCAATACTGGAAATCAAACTATAAACAAACTATGAGCTGTTCCTATTTTTTATTAAAACTACAGTTAAAACATTTCCTTTCCCAACTATCCCAGATTTTCATCCATACTTGCTATTGTTATAACTGCTGTAGGAGTTTAGCTTGGTATATTACAAAGGTATTTCTCAAGGTGTTAAACTTCAGAGTAAACACAGAGTAATGCTGAAAATATGCTAAGGACAATGTTTGATGAACTGAAAGGACAGAAAAAGATAATTTCTCAATCTCTGCCAATTATTCTTGACTCAAAATACACTTATTTGCCATTTGGCCACATATGGAGAAATATAACATATTTAGAATGCTACAAGCATTGGAAGTGTAGTTTTAATCTAAAAAAATAAGTAAAAATAGCAAAAACAATAATTGAGTTTATCAAATTTTAATAAATATTATAAAGTACTCTCCTGAAATATGACTGAACCAATGTGGTAAACTGGTTTACCTACAAAGTAAGGACTACCTTTAGTGAACCTTTCATTTTTCAGAATTGGGCCTACGAAAAACCAAACACACATACATAATAAATTTTAACAACTCTGGGAAAATTAGAGGACAAATGATAATCATCTAAAATCAAAGCAGAGCATCAATTTAGAATCTTTACTAAAAGTGGCTCAATGAGGTTCAAGCTTTTCTTTCAATATCAGAGAAACTAGATTTTCCAGTGATTCATTCTTTATGGTTACTGGAATATTATATCAATTGTGCTATTATCAGAGAAAAAATGATAAGAACTAATATGCACTGAAATTTAAGTCAAACTAAGGTTATACAGAAATAAAACCCTAGAAAATATTTATTAATGAATACTAAATGCAATGATACTTACCCATACCTTAAACCTCAGCTAACACATTTTTACTTCACATAGCTAATAATCTGTTAAATCCTATCTATTCTATTAATGTGATACATTTCCTCTATTGCAGGTCCAATTCACTCCTACTGTACTATAACACTATCTCCCATCTGACTGGCCACTACCTCAGTAATATTCTTCTCTAATCCATATTACACACTCATGTAATATTCTTTTAAATATTATAAACCACATAAACTGAAATAAAAATCTGGTATTTCAATATTTTATCCAATAATATCTTCCAGTTTCAATTATAAACTATATTATAGATACAAAAATCTACCTACTCATTTCTATATTCTCTGTTTAATATGCCCTACCTACTTTTAGCTGCCCATGCCTTAAATTCTACCTAAGGAAGGACTAGACAATTCAAAAATATCTTTCATATAGTTATTCCATCTCTCACCAGTGGGAACTAAATATCATTCCCATATGCGTTGATAGTATTTTATTATCTCTGTAGTAACATTTAGATCATGCCTGATATATTTTATGTTAATTTATGCATATTTTAATTTGACTGTGACATATATCACATTTTCTATCAGAGGGGCATAATCAAAAGCAGATCCCAAGTAAATACAGAACAAGGTAAATACAAATTGAATATATTATAATGGTATCTCTGTTCTACTTAACATGTAAAGACTTATTATTAGCTTTGGATTCATTTGTGACCAGTTAAAATCACAGGGGTTTGCTGAAAGTTAAAACTATAACAATGTTGAGGCTGGAGAGATAGTACTGGAGATACATTAAATGTATCACTGGAGAGATAGTGAAAGGGCACTTGCCTTATATGTGGCGACCTCGGTGGAGTCCCCAGTACCCCATGTGGTCCCTGGAGCCCACTAGGAGTGATCTCTGAGGGCAGAGCCAGGATCAGAAGCCCTGATCACAGCTGTGTGTTGCCTCAAACCAAACTAATACCAAACCAAACTATACCAGTGTCTTACCGACTAATAAATGGCTTAATGTTCTGTCCTTTCAAGGGCTCCATGCTCAAAGGTATGGGCTCTGGGGTGGAGAGCCAGTAAGAATAGTCATTTCTTGAAGCAAAATTGCAAATATTATTGACATTGCAGAACATGAAAGGCATGGTACTGAAGCGACGAAGGCAGCTGCCAGCTGTCCCTAAGGAAGAATTAGGGAGAAAAAGAAGGATTCATCATGATGATTCTTCAATTTCTTCTAAAACACTAAAAAACAACCTTTCAAATAGAAACTGTTCCATATATCACAGGCAGTACATATTACATGTATTTTATTTTACTCATAAGATGCACATTTACCCATCTTAACACTTAAAAATCAGAATATTTAATTTATGTAAGACATTTGTTGCAGCAGGTTTCTCATATATTCCCTAACACTTTTAAAACTGGTGATAAATCTTTTGTCTTTTGGACACGTGTCCTTTGGTGAATATTAAGTAATGTAGTATGGATGAGTGAGACAACATAACATATCAGCATTTCTTCTCCAGGTTACGCTGTCTTCCTCCAAGACATTCCCAGTAAGGTCTAGGACTGATTTTCCTTTCCTGCAAGGAGCAAGCCCCAAGGCCAACTCTTAACAGTTCTAGATTATCCCAGGCATTTCCATGGTGGCAGAGGTGGATAGAGAAAGCAACAGATTCCCTTCTCGAGGCTGTTGCCTCTCTTTTCATTTCATCTGAGTCACCAGCATCAATTGTGTGGAATCACCTAATAGGTGTAGAAGCTAAGGCATTGCAGAGTGGAAAAGTTATTGTTGACATATACAACAAATTCAGGCCTTCCAAGGGGGCAGCTAGTTATCTGAGCTGAGGTTGGAGTAGGGGAGTAGAACTGCAAGCTCCCTTTCTTCTAGGTGATTTTCACATCCTGAGCTGCTTCGAGTTATCAATTATCCTTCAGATGTGGTCTAATCCTGATCTGTATGTTCTGCCACTCAACACCTTCAGAGGGGAAGAGATAGAATACAAGTGATCTACGAACTGTGTATTTGAACTTCAGTCAGCTCACAATCTCAACAGCAGTCACAGAGAGATAGAGTGAGGGTATTTCACTAAGTCTAAAGGTGTCATCAATTTAAACAAATCTCCCCTATAAGATTAATTAAATTAATATGTTCTAGGCTAATGTATCTCAATATGTTCCTGACTGTGACCCCTTCATATCTTGTTCCCTACCTTTGACAATCCTAGTTTCATGCTGTGGCCCCCATTTACACAATATCTGGGGGGTCACAGGGGCCCAGATGGTCCCATTGATAAACTCTGCTTTATGCTGTGACTAGTTAGAAAGTACAAGAAGTAAACAATCCCAAACAATGGTCCAAGGCATGAATGGAATAGGCTTTCTGTATATTGAAGGCCAGATGCAAAGAGAATTGTTTTTTTAGGAAGTGGCCAGAGGTCACTGATGCTTCTTAAGTTAAGAACGAACTCCACTATTGAGGCCTCTCAGGCTGTTTCTAATCCACCTTTATGGGCCAGGTCTTTTTTGAAATAACAATTGTCTCAAGATCTCAGGCATACTCAGCAGTAGGGTTTTAGATTCTGGTTTCTTTCTTCATTTTGGACTTTGGGCAATATCCGGCTCTGCTCAGGGCTTACTCATGGCACTGTTCTCAGAAAAAATTTCTGGCAGGGTTTGTGGGTCATAAGGGGTGATGAGTATTGAACCACGTTGGCCATATGCAAGGCAAGTGCATTCTACTTGCTCTACTCTCTTCTTTTCACTGAGCTTAGTTTCTAAAACATCATGTCAGAAGCTCATATGAGGCAATTTAGCTGTATATGGGGGGCTGCAAAATAATTGAATGTAATGACTAACTTAATTCAAAATAAGCCAAATAATAAATCAGGTTTTCCTGGTAGTATTTACTAGGGTATTTCCCCTTTTCATTCCTGGCTTCTTGGTTGTTTGCAGGCTTTCTTATCTGGCATCTGCACCCTAATACTGTGCTATAGAACACTTCTCTCCAGTGTGCCCCAATGCTGAAGAAACAAGTTTCTGTTTACCCTTACTGTGCTCAGAATTGCAGGCTCCATCTCTCTTATAAGTCAAAGTATACTGGAGACACACAGTACATCTTGTTTATGGTTATTTATAGCCTCTCTGAAGTCTTCGTCCTCCTCTCTATGTTAGGGCACTGCTCCTACAGTTGTCCGATCCTTTTTCAGGCCCTAAGCTTCACTTCTTGGATTTATTTGAAAATGTGGATAGTGGAAGAGTCCAGATTCTTGCCTGATCCACCATCCTGCTGTTTCCACACTTTTATAATTGGGGGATGGGCAATAGTAAGAGAACATGGTAGGTTATCCAAAGCATAAACACAGGCAATTTAGATGAATGTGAATATAAAAGTGGATGCTTTGAATATTCAGTCCTTTAAAAGAATGCCTGAGTAGCTGTTGGAAATTCCTCACATATGCAGATACATATATTTATATCAAGTGGATGATGGATAAAAGATCAGTAATTCTTAAATCTGATGGATCATCAGGATAATTGGACATCCTTATACAACAGGTTTGGGAAAATTCTCGGATGATTTTAGAAGCTAACCAGGTTGAAAATCAAGATTTTTAATTTGTTCTAATTTTTTTTTCAGAAAAAATATAATCTGGGGGCTGGAGCGATAGCACAGCAGGTAGGGCGTTTGCCTTGCACACAGTCAATATGGCCGACCCAGGTTTGATTCCCAGCATCCCATATGGTCCTCCGAGCACCGCCAGGAGTAATTCCTGAGTGCATGAGCCAGGAATAACCCCTGAGCATCGCCGGGTGTGACCCAAAAAGCAAAAAAAAAAAAAAGAAAAATAGAATCTGGCGCATAAAAATTACACTGACTCAAGTTCATGTGAGAATTAGTGACAAACGACATAACTGAAAAGTTAAAAGGTAAAGGTAAAGGCCCTCCCGTTGATCGTCGATTTGCTCGAGCGGGCCCAGTAACGTCTCCATTGGAGACTTTGTTGTTACTGTGTCTGGCATATCGAATACTCTCGGTACCTTGCCGGGTATGGATTTAGAATTGATAGACACTGGACTTTTTAATTTTAGTCACTCTGATTTATAATTTTACAGCACTGTCAATGATAGGGTTACTTGAATACAGCATTCCAACACCAGATCTTCCATCAGTGTCTGCTTCCCTTTGCCCTTGTATCAGGGTTCCTCCTTACTCCCACTATAGCCTCTATACACTTTAAAACACACTACAATGCCATAGCAAGCTCAGTTCTGTAGACCAGTTCTATAGATGTTGCTGTTCTTGATCTTCAATTTCACACATTTCTGGGTATGTGATTTTGAATAACTCACTTAATCCATTAGCCAATTTAAAAATTTGTTTTTAGGCCATACCAGGCAGTGCTTAGGACTTACTCCTGACCCTGAGCTCAGGGATAACTACTGTTAGGGCTCCAGGAATCATATCATGTGCCAGTCATGAAACTGGGTCAGGCACGTGTAAGGCAAACACCCTACCTGCTGTACAATTGCTCCAGCTCCAATTAGTCAGTTTTTAAAAAATGTATAAAATGAAAAGACATGTCCTACATATTTCTATTCTTTTAATTTTTATTGTTTTGGTGCTCTGGGGGCCACAGCCAGCAGTACTTAGGAGCTACCACAACTATACTCTAAAGCAGCTGGATGTGGAAAGCTATTTGGTGCTGGTCTTGAACCCAGAGCTTCATATATGCAAGACTTGTGTCCTATCACGTAAGACACATTCATGGATAATGAATATGATAATTATAAAATACAATAATAATTAAATTCCCATTACTGTCTAATTAGAAGCAGCTGGAAATATCTCTGGTCTTTGAATAAAAAGAAGGAAACAGAAGGAGGTACACAAAAGTAAAGTGCATAATGATAACAGGAATGTTTGATTGTATATATGCCATAGGTTATCAGGAAGCAGAATTTTCAATTATTGTTTCCAACTTTTTTTGGTTTGGGGCCACACCCTGTAGTGCTCAAGGTATTCCTAGCTCTGTGCTCAGCAGTGGCCTCTGGCAATGCTTGACGAACCACAGGTGGTAGCTGGCAATGCTTGGGGGACCACAGGTGATAGACGGGATAGGATACTAGAGTTACATGTAATAAAAGTGCCCTACCCTATCTATTACACTCTCTCTGGCCCTAGGTTCCAAATTTTTGAAGAGGATGAACTCATAAACTCTCAATGCCTTCCTTATTGTAAAATGTTAAAACTCTACTATATTAATGATTATCACAAAATATTTTTCTCTCAGAAAGAACAGTTCTAGTATTCAGTATGTTTATTCCACCTCTTAATATCACATCTTTTCATTAATCCATCACAATTTGTTTTATACAGTGATACCCCTTTAGCATCAAAGTGAAAGTTGTAACTGCCTCTATTCCTTACTGTACTGCGAGGATATATCTACAGCCTGTTATACTGTATAGAGACCACTGTGGCACTGTCCTCCCATTGTTCATAGATTTGCTCAAGCGGGCCCAGTAACATTGTGAGACTTGTTACTGTGTTTAGCATACCGAATATGTCACGGGTAGCTTGCCAGGCTTTGCCGTGTGGGCGAGATACTCTCGGTAGCTTGCCGGCTCTCCGAGAGGGGCGGAGGAATCAAACCTGGGCCAATGGGGTCGGCCACATGCAAGGTAAACCCCTTACCCGCTGTGCTATCGCTCCAGCTCTACAGAGACTAGTTTTCATAAAAAACAAGCTAGCAAAAGCCTTATTTTAGGTTAAAATTATAGTTCACACTAAAGAACTAATGTTTTTAGTTCAGAATTTAAAATCGTATCTGTATGAAACTCATAGTAAATAGATCAAGTTTCCCTAGATATGTTTTTCATTTTTGAAGTCCCCCAAATAGATATACTTTGACTAAGGCTACCACAGAATCTACAAGATTTTCAAAACAAACAAAATGCATAATAGTAAGTTGTGGATTGTCTCACCCAAATCTTGGCCATGAGCTCTTTTATTTCCCTGTACATATAGAAGAGAAAAGCCATCATAAATCTTGACAGTTCCTGGTGGGCATGGAGGTGCATCTGTTGTCTGACTGTGACGTGTGATGAGGAATCCATGGGTGAAAGATGAGGATCCAGGTGGACCTGGAGGGCCTTGTAATCCATCTGGCCCAGGAGGACCATCCAAACCACGGGTACCTATTTCCATGCAATCATTAATATAAAAAATAATGCAAACTCTAACCAACTATTATGACTACTGATAAAATATTATGACTTGATTACAATTAAGACAGTGTTTATAAATGAATATTCTGATTTCACAGACTTCTAGCTAAACAAGATACTGTTCCTAAACTCAAAAGAATTTAAATTTTTATCCTAGAATTTGTTGATGGCATTTGATAGTAAGACTAAATACTGAGATATGATGCTTCTCTGTAGACTCTATATGCACATTGGTCTTTTACTATACTCCCAAGACAAAAAAATTCAACCCACTGTTTTGTTCATCAATAAGAAAGTAAAAGTATGGTTGCCATCAGTCTATCAGTTGGCCAACTTTATATTTTTTATTTATTTTTTTACTGATTTTATTTATTTTATTTTTATTAGTGAGACACCACGAGGTACAGTTGTAGACTTACAAATTTTGTGCTTGGGTTTCAATTATACAATGATCAAATCCATCCCTCCACCAGTCAGTTGACCAACTTTAATCCTGAAAAAAGTTTTCCTTTGAAGTTGTCTGTGAAATTACTTTCAGGCATCATTTTGCTTAGAGAATAGACAAGACACTCAAAAAAAGCCTGTTTAAGATGAAGTCATGAAATTTACATACAAGTGGTACTACAAGGAAAGTATCATGTTAAGCGAAATGAGTCAGAAAGAGGGATAGACAGAAAGATTGCATTCACCTGGGGAACATAAAGTAACAAAATAGGAGACTAACACTCAAGAATGGCCGAGATCAGTACCAGGAATTTTGGTCCATGGCTTGGAGGCCAGCCATACATGCTAGGGGAAAAGGCAGCTCAGATAGAGAAGGGAGCACCAAATAAAGGGTGTTGGGAGGATCCTCCCAGGATGGGAGAAGCATGCTGAATGTAGACTATAGACCAAACATGATTGCCACTTATTGCCTCTTTTGCAAACCACAACACCCAAAAGGAGAGAGAAAACAGAGGGGAATGCCCTGCCACAGAGGAGGGTGGGATGGGGGAACGGGGGTGGGAGGGATACTGGGATCTGTGGTGGTGGGAAATGGGCACTGGTGGGAGAATGGGTATTTGATCATTGTATAATTGAAACCTAAACACAAAATTTGTAAGTCTACAACTGTACCTCATGGTGTCTCACTAATAAAAATTTAAAAAAGCCTGTTTAAATTATCTGGTTTTCAATCTACCACTCATACCACTTGATCCTCTTATCCATTTAGCTCCTGATTTGAGCTCATTAAATATTTTTCTATATAGGTCTTTGTCCACTGTGAGGATTTTGGGGAAATGTTTATTTTGGGGAAACTTCAGTGAATGTGACATTGTTTTTTCCCCTCAAAATAGCTCATAAAATGGTAGGTGTTGGTTCTAGGAAGGCCATATGGGTTAAAACCCTGCTTCATAGCCACTGTTATTTTTTCAATGCAAAATATATAGCCATTTATATTTTTCAATGCATAATACTTAGGTATATATTTTCAAGAGTTGCTAATATAACCATCTACTGAGTATATGAGCTTCTATTTCTATGTTAGCAATCTTTAGTGTATTTTCTTTTGTAATTTTTAAATTTTTATTAAAGAACTGTGGTATACAAAATTATTGATAGTTGATTTTAGGCACATAATATTTCAACATCAATTCCATCACCAGTGTCAACTTCCCTCTACCAGTGTTCTCATATTCTGTTCCCACTCTTATCCCCACCCCACCCCTACCTGTCAACTTGACAGGCAAATTATAAAATTTCAGTAGTTGCAGCTTAGATATCATGTTTTCAGTTTTGTTGAGTCTGTGTTTTGGATATATGGCTATACCACTTACATATCACCAGTATAACTGAAGCCCTAATGCCTGTTTACCCATTAATTCCCATGCACTTCTCTCCCCCTTGATTTCTTTCCTTCTTTTCCCTTCTCATTTTTAAACACTGGGGTCAAGTCATCCCCCTTCTTACATTTCCTCATTCAGTACTCTATATACTACAGATAATAGAGATCATCCTGCATTTGTCATTCTTCTTCTGACTTACTTAACTCAACATGATATATTCCAGTTTCAACCACATTGCAATAAATTACATTATTTAGTCATTCCTTGCAGCTGTATAGTATTCCATTAAGTATATATACCATATCTTCATAAACTATTCACCTAGGTTGATGCCATATATTAGCTATTGTACTGAGTGCAGCAATGTTGCAAGGTGATTCAAATTTTTTGGATATATGATGAATACAGATCGGAAATTTAGTAGATCCTAGATTCAACAGTATCTGGCACATATAATAATGGTAACCTCGAAAGTCTATCAACTTGCCATCTCAATGTAAGTTGCCACTACAACACTCGAAGTTCAATAAGAAATCTCTTAAACTGGCTATACTTTATGGGGAAATTACATTTTATTGCAAAACTTTCTAATGTGGAATTGTCACTGAGATTAAATCATCATATTGAAATTTTAAAAGAACACAATGAATATCCAGAAAATTCCCAATTTGAAGAAAAGTTGGATTTTCTAGGTGCCAAAGACATAAATAAAAACATTTCTATGCATCTCTTATCCTGGCTAGTCTGCTTATATATTCCTTCCCATTTTTCCCAGTTTCAGATTTTTCAAGTAGCTATGCTTCTTTCAAGCTGCAACTGGAGGTCATATATCTATACTTTTGTCAAATTTGAAAGGTTAATATCAGCAGTAGTGTTTTACTTATCTTACCTGGTTGGCCAGGCAGACCTGGGTCTCCTTTGCGTCCTCCCGCTCCATCAAATCCAGGGAGCCCATTGTGTCCAGGGTCTCCTGGAAGGCCAATTGGACCTAAAGAAAAGGGAAATATGATTTGAAAATGTTTATATTAAGCCAACATCTAGACATATTAGGACATCTAAGGTCCTCGAGTGTCATTAAATTCATAGCCTGACTTTATCTTTAATCCAGACAAAAATAATTCAGGTTAAGACAAAAGACAGGACTAAGTCTTAAACATTCACTTTGCTTCTCCTTTAGAGCAATATAGGAGAACAAGACACAACTTTTTTTATTTATCCCACCATATATAAGGCAGGTTTTTCTATATAATGACATAATAAGAGAGAAATATTGAAGTTTCAACTTACTACTATAATCAAAACTGTCTACAAATAGAGTCAATGGTCAACTAATAATGAATTAATTAAAAATATTAAGCCTCATAAGAAGAAATGATGTGCTACTAAATCAGCCTTTCATTTTTCTGGCAGATGGGCTAGAGAAAATCTACAGGATCTTAAATACATATTTATTTCATTGCAGTTTCCCAAAACGTTACCTATATTATGAAAATTAGAACATCCAAAGGGGCTACAAAAAGGGGCCACAATAAATTACATATTTAAGGAAAAAGGACACATCTGATATTCTTCAAGAGAACTGGTCTAGCTCCACAAATCTCAAAATGAACAACATGCAGCTGCAATCTCCCACATTGGATTAGTATATGGGCTGAAAACTTGGGGTGTTCTTGAAATGGGGGCATGAAGATTCACCCGCCTCCAACCTCCCTCCACAGGAATGTCCAGCAGCCCCTGCCCAAACCCATCATCTTGCAGTCAAAAAAATGGCTCAGCTCCATAGCTAATCTCAAAAAAGAACATGATGCTGCTCAATCTTCCCAGGTAGACCCTTGTGGACTACTCAGAATAGTGGGAGGCTGATTTCCCTTTTCTTTTTTTAAATTTTATTGAATCACCGTGAGATAGTTACAAGCTTTCATGTTTGAGTTACAATCGCACAATGATCAAACACCCATCCCTCCACCAGTGCAAATTCCCCACCACCAATATCCCCGGTATATCCCCCCCTTTTCAACCTCCCCCTGCCTCCATGGCAGACAATATTCCCCATAATCTCTCTCTATTTGGGAGCATTATGGTTTACAATACAGACACTGAGAGGTTATCATGTTTGGTCCTTTGTCTACTTCCTGCACACATCTCCCATCCCAAACGATTCCTCCAGCCATCATTTTCTTAGTGATCCCTTCTCTATTCCAGCTGTCTTCTCCTCTCTGCTCATGAGGCAGGTTTCCAGCTGTGGAGCAATCTACCTGTTCCATGTATCTACTATCCATCCTTAGGGATCAGCCTCATGCTGACTCCATTTATACTCCACAAATGAATGCAGTTCTTCTATGTCTATTCCTCTCTTTCTGATTCATTTCACTTAGCATGATACTCTCCATGTCTATCCATTTATAAGCAAAGTTCATGACTTCATCTCTCCTGACAGCTGCATAATATTCCATTGTGTAGATGTACCAAAGTTTCTTTAACCAGTCATCTGTTCTAGGGCACTTGGGTTGTTTCCAGATTTTGGCTATTGTGAACAGTGCTGCAATGAACATATAGGTACAGATGTCATTTCTACTGTGCTTTTTTGCATCCTCGGGATATATTCCCAGAAGTGGTATTGTGGGGTCATATGGAAGCTCAATTTCTAGTTTTTGAAGGATTGTCCATATTGTTTTCCAAAAGGGCTGAACTAGTGGGCATTCCTACCAACAGTGAAAGAGTGTCCCTTTTTCCCTACATCCACGCCAACACTGGTTACTTTTGTTCTTTTGAATGTGTGCCAGTGTCTGTGGTGTGAGATATCTCATTGTTGTTTTGATTTGCATCTCCTTGAAGGCTAGCGATGTGGAGCATTTTTTCTTGTGCCTTTTGGCCATTTGTATTTCTTTTTTGAGGAAACTTCTGTTCATTTCTTCTCCCCATTTTTGGATGGGGTTGGAGGTTTTTTCCCTTGTACGATTCTACTAGTGTCTTGTATATCCTAGATATTAATCCATTATCAGATGGCTATTGGGTAAATATTATTTCCCTTTCTGTGAGATTTTTCTGTATTTTGGTCACTGTTTCTTTCGAAGTGCAGTAGCTTTTTAGTTGATTCACCCTTCTGCTTTAAGGCACAGCAGCCCACAGCCACACCCAACACCCTCTGACATAGAAATGGGCCAGCTCCACAACTTGAACCTCCTCAAGTTGTCAAGCCACTGAATTATATTTCTCCATAGCTCATGGACTTAATAGCCACATGTGTGGTCACGCAACATATCCAACTTTCATAGTACTGTCAGCGCAGTAGGATACAGCACATCTGATTGGAAAGTTGCATAGAACACTAAGCTCAATGAGCTAACATAGTAACACAGAAGGCTCAACTAGCATCAAACAGTCCAGTAAATCCTCAGCCAATGGCTTTGGTAACACCATTGTGAGATATAATAATTTTAACAAATTGCCTTCATTGATCTAAGTTTTGATAATTCCACTTGCTTTTGTGTAGTAACAAATAACAGGAAGAAGTTTGTTTGTGCCTGCTAAGGGAGTAGGCTGGGGTGGTGTGTGGGAAACTGGTAGAAGAAAGGTTACACTGGTGGTGAGAATAAAACAAAAGTATTACGAACAACTTGCTAAATCACTGTTATAGTACATTTTTTTAAAAAGGGACATATAGTAATCTTGTATTCTAGTTGCTGGGAATCCTATTGTTAGGAAGATAAAATCTGAACAAAAAAAGGAGCTGCAGGTTAATATTTTCAAGCAGAAAAGGTTTAAACATTATCTATAAAGGTACCTGGTAATCCTTGAGGTCCTGGTGGGCCTGGTGGACCTTTTAATCCAGGTTGGCCTGGGACTCCTGGTGGACCAGAGTCTCCTTTGATTATAATACTTTGTCCGGAAGGACCAGGTAATCCAGGGGGACCTAAGAGGCACAAACAAAAATTCGAAGATAGGTAAAGAAAGATCAAAAGAAATAGATGCTAAAGAGAACTAAGATCAAAGTAAGAATGTGAGAGAAACAAATTATACAAATTGGTATGTTGCCATATCTAAAAAACCATGCACAAAAATTAACATTGTCTCATCCAGGTAAAAAAATATTACTTTTGCTACATTCCAATAGAAAAATTAGGTATATTGTTCCTATTTTCAAGCTTCTAAATTATTAGATAATCTAATCCAGTACAAATCAATGCACTGGTAATGGAATGACAGATCCATTTTGATTCTAACATAGATTACAGTTATTATTTTTACTTGTCAAAGTACACTATACTATTAGGGGAATCAAGTACATGTGCTATTCCACAATTTACAAGTCTCTCAGCATAAACAACTAATTTCACATTAAAAGGAGCAAACAAACACATATGACTATTTCTTGTGGTCTATTTTATTAACTATGGAAGTAAATATAAAAGCTAATATGTTTTAAAAAATTATTATTTGGGAAGGGTTCCATAGCAGTGCTTAAGCTTTTTCCTGGAAATTCTTAGGCAACTTGTTAGCTTTTTGATATGAGAGTGGAATTATGTGATGCCGCTTGGGCCCTGTGTTGCCAGGGATTACCTGAACATCCTGATAGTACTATGGGTCTTCCAGGGTCACACATAGCAATGATCAGGGTACCATGTGGTTTCAGGGCTTGAAATATATTGTTACATTTAAAGCATGAAGATTAACCCCTGTAAAGTTTCTTAAGTACCTCAATGAAACATTTCTATTGATCCCGCATAATATTATATTCAAAAGTCCACTATGAATATTACACCACTACAATACATAGTTTGAAAGAATAGTATTAGAGGAAGAGTATTACATATTTCTCATAAGTTTTGGCCCCAAACTCTGACAGCTTAGTTGAGACACAGAATATAAACTTTCAAATCGTTTAATAGTGCCTTTAGTGTCAGTACAACTAGTCCCAGGAATAAGACTTACCAGGAGGCCCCATAGGTCCAGGATTTCCTTCAGGGCCAGTTGAACCAGGTACTCCAGTGGGTCCTTTCAGGCCTACAAAGAATATACATAAAACTGCATACCAAAGCAAGAGAACCACGACAAAGTCAACCAGGTCAAGTAAGAAAATGGGTCTATTATCCCCAAATATAGTTATAATAGGAAACCTCAAAATATTTCTTAAATACCTGGGAATCCTGGTACACCAGGGAGACCTGGATCTCCTTTCATTCCATTAAGACCTGGACGACCAGGATCACCCTGAATAAATAAAGTAATATTAGAAGAAAATTTGTGGTATATGGAGGTATGAGGGCATACATGGTTTCACACAGTGGTTTACAATACTGTCTGTACAGTGAAATGATCAGCCTCAATTTTCAACTATATCTTTTATTATATTATGGTACCATTTTAGTTTCACAGTTTTTTTTCAAATATGGGCTGGAGCGATAGCACAGTGGTAGGGCGTTCGCCTTACAAGCGGCCAACATGGCCGACCCGAGTTCGATTCCTCCGCCCCTTGCGGAGAGCCTGGCAAGCTACGGAGAGTATTCGATATGCCAAACACAGTAACAACAAAGTCTCCAATGGAGATGTTACTGGGCCCACTCGAGCAAATCGACGATGGACAAAATAACCTTATTAACATCATAGGTTTGTTGTGGTGATGATTAAATTAGTTATATTAAGTATCAAGAAACAAAGTGACATGTGATATGTACTTAATAAATTGTAGCTAAGTCGCCGCCCCTCTCAAACAGGTACCCGCCAGGCAGCTACTCCCTACCCCAACTCGGAACCCGGAAAGCCAGCCATCGCAGCCAGGACCCCAGCCTGGGGCATCTGCCTCCACTTCTGCAGGGAGCACCAGCCGAAATAATCGCCGCCCCTCCTCAACAGGTCTGTGGACTAGCATCAAGATTGGCAGGGGGCGTGGCCACCACTGTAGGGGAGTGGCCTCCTCAAAAGTGGGCATGGTCTCCTCAAAAGTAGGCATGGCCTTCTCCGGGGTGGGCCACCATTCACATGGCAAACAAAGAAAACAACAACAAAGAAAACTAGGCCAAAATCCCTTATGCACAGGGATGAGAAGATCCTCAACAAAATATTAGCAAATAGAATCAAACAACTCATCAGAAAGATCATACACCATGACCAAGTGGGATTCATCTCGGGGATGCAAGGATGGTTTAACATTCTGAAATTTGTCACTGTCACTGTCCTCCAGTTGTTCATCAATTTGCTTGAGCGGGCCCAGTAACGTCTCCATTGTGACAATTGTTACTGTGTTTGGCATATCAAATATGTCATGGGGGGCTTGCCAGGCTTTTCCGTGTGGGTGAGATACTCTTGGTAGCTTGCTGGGCTCTCTGAGAGGGGCAGAGGAATCGAACTCGGGTCAGCCATGTTGGCTGCATGCAAGGCAAACGCCCTACCCGCTGCACTATCACTCCAGCCCTAACATTCGGAAATCAATCAACATAATCCATCATATCAACAAAAGTAAAGATAAAATCCATATGATCATATCAACAGATGCAGAGAAAGCTTTTGACAAGATTCAGCACCCATTTATGATGAAAAATCTCAGCAAAATGGGGTTTGAAGGAACTTTCCTCAAGATAGCCAAAGCCATCTATGACAAACCCATGGCAAGTATTATCCTCAAAAGGGAAAAACTAAGGGCCTTTCCTCTAAGATCAGGGTCAAGACAAGAATGCCCACTGTCACCACTTCTGTTTAACATAGTACTAGAAGTACTTGCAATAGAGATTAGGCAAGAAAAAGACATTAAAGCCATCAGAAAGGAAAGGATGAAATCAAGCTCTCACCATTTGCAGATGATATGATACTGTATCTCAAGAATCCAAAATCCTCTACCAAGAAATTCCTAGAAACAATAGTCTTGTACAGTAAAATCACAGGCTATCAATTCAATGCCACAAAATCTATGGCCTTCCTATATGCAAATAATGAGAGAGAGGAAAGTGACATGAAAAAAATAATCCCGTTCACTATTGTGCCCAAGAAAATCAAATACCTTAGAATCAGCCTAACTAAAAAAGGTAAAGGAGGTCTACAATGAAAACTACAAACCACTACAACATGAAATAAAAGAGGATATGAGGAAATGGAAACATATCCCCTTCTCATGGATAGGAAGAATCAACATCGTCAAAATGGCAATACTTCCGAAAGCATTATACAGATTCAACGCAATCCCTATAAGGATACCCATGAAATTCTTCAAAGAAATAGATTAAGCACTCCTGAAATTCATATGGAACAACAAATGCCAAGGAATAGCTAAAGCAATTCTTGGGTAAAAGACTTGGGGAGGCATTACTCCCCCCTCCCCCAACCTCAAACTCTACTACGAAGCAGTAATAATTAAAACAGCATGGTACTGGAACAAAGCCAGGGCTGCCGACCAATGGAACAGGGTGGAATATCTGTACACACAACGCCAAATGTATGAACTTCTAATCTTTGATACAGGAGCAAGAAATGTGATGTGTATCAAGGAAAGACCCTTCAACAAATGGTGCTGGCATACTGTACAACGACATGTAAAAATGGGCTTAGACCTCGACCTAATATCATACACAAAAGTCAGATCAAAATGAATCAAAGATCTCAACATTAGGCCAAAATACATAAGATACATTGTAGACAAGGTCGGCAAAACCCTCCACGATGTTGAGGCTAATGGTATAATCAAAGATGACACTCCACTGACCAACCAAGTGGAAACAGAGATAAACAAATGGGGCCATCTTAAATTAAGAAGCTTCTGCACCTCAAAAGATACGGTAACCAGAATGCAAAAACAATCTACAGAATGGGAAAGGATATTTACCCAATACCCATCTGATAAAGGGTTGATATCAAGGATATACAAAGCACTTGTTGAACTCTACAAGAAGAAAACATCTAACCCCATCAAAAAATGGGGTGATCCTCCCAAAACCCTTTATTTGGTGCTCCCTCCCAGGATGGGAGAAGCATATTGAAAGTAGACTATAGACCAAACATGAGTGTCACTCAATGCTTCTTTTGCAAACCACAACACCCAAAAGGAGAGAGAGAACAAAAGGGAATGCCCTTCCACAGAGACAGGGTAGGATGGGGGGGATGGGGGGTGGGAGGGATACTGGGATTTGTGGTGGTGGGAAATGGGCACTGGTGGAGGGATGGGTATTTGATCATTGTATATTTGAAACCCAAGCACAAAAATTTGTAAGTCTACAACTGTACCTCATGGTGTCTCACTAATAAAAATTAAAAAATTTTAAAAAAACGGGGTGATGAAATGAACAGAAACTTTCCCAAAAAAGAAATCCGAATGGCTAAAAGGAACATGAGAAAATGCTCTACATCACCAATCATCAGGGAGATGCAGATCAAAACAACAATGAGTTATCATCTCACACCACAGAGTCTAGCCCACATTCAAAAGAACTAAAACAACCAGTGCTGGCGTGGATGTGGTGAGAAATGGACTCTCCTTCACTGCTGGTCGGAATGCCAACTGGTTCAGCCCTTTTGGAAAACAGTATGGACAATTCTCAAAAAATTAGAAATTGAGCTTCCATTTGACCCAGCAATACCACTCCTGGGAATATATCCCGGATAGGCAAAAAACGTACAGTTCAAATAACATCTGCACTTCTATTCATTGCTGCACTATTCCCAATAGCCAAAACCTGGAGAAAATCCGAGTGCCCGAGAACAGATGATTGGTTGAAGAAACTTTGGTACATCTACACAATGAAGTTTTATGCACCTGTTAGAAAAGATGAAGTCACGACATTTAACATACAAGTGGTACTACATGGAAAGTATCATGCTAAGTGAAATGAGTCAGAAAGAGAGGGAAAGACATAGAAAGATTGCATTAATCTGGGGAATATAAAGTAACAAAATGGGAGACTAACACCAAAGAATAGCGGAGATAAGTACTAAGAGGTTCACTCCATGGCTTGGAGGCAAGCTCCACATGCTTGGGGAGAAGGCAGCTCAGATAGAGAGGGGAGCACCAAGTAAAGGGTGTTGGGAGGATCCTCTCAGGATGAGAGATGCATGTTGAAAGTAGACTATAGACCAAACATGATTGGCACTCAATGCCTCTTTGGCAAACCACAGGACCCAAAAGAAGAGAGAGAATGTAAGGGAATGCCCTGCCACAGAGATGAGGTGGGATGGGGAGGGGTGGGCGTGGGAATGATTCTGGGAGCATTGGAGGTGCGGAGTGGGCACTGGTGGAGGGATGGGTATTAAATCATAGTATAACTGAAACCCAAGCACAAAAACTCGTAAGTCCAAAATACATAAATAAAATAAAAATTTGCATGTTTGGTGAAAAAAACAAACAAGAGAATTGCAATTATGAAAACTGAAATAATTATTAAAAGTTTTCCTCCAAACAGAAACTTCAAATTAAAAAATATAGTTGTCTGGGTTAAATGACTGAACCATCTGTGTAGGCTGCCAAAACTTAGAACATTCTTTCTGATTTAAGGGAAGAAGTTTTGAGGATCACTGAAGAAGAATATGATTTTCTGGGTCATTCAAACAAAGGTGAAAAGCTCATTAATATAGATGTGGAGATACGTTATTATTCTCTTTTTTTTAAAGGTGAAGATAAAACACAGAGTCTATTTGCATTCCTCATAAACAAGAAGCAGAAGTGTTCAGTGAAGATGAAATTTTAAACTTTATTTAATTTCAAAGTCTAAAGATATCTGCACTCACTATAATTACATCCTCATGGGTGGACTTAACGACATGAAATCCCTGACATTTATAAAGCGAGATGTATCTTTTATTTTTACTGAATTTTCTTTTAGGAAAATAAATGTTTCAAAAATGTAAGTATACACACCAAACACTTCAGGTGAAGTATCTTTTGAGGAATCCTTTATAAAATAGCAAAGTCCCTTTAGTTGGAATAGGATTGTATACTTACGTATTTTTTGACCAGTGAATCAGGTATAGAAATATGAACACTGAATGCTAATAAAAATAATACAACTTGAAATCTTTATCCTATGGCTAATAATCACAGCCCCCTCTTTCATCAAATAAGTACTCTCATCTCCTACCTGGAGTCCTGGTGGTCCTTGATCTCCTTTCAATCCAGGCAAACCAGGTTGCCCAGGTTGGCCTGGGTTTCCTTTCTCTCCCTTAATACCTCCATTTCCAGGGAGACCACGAGGACCTTCTGGCCCTGGTTGACCTTGATAACACCAGACAAATGATCACGTTTCAGTAAGTCATAAAGGTAGTAGCATAAAATTAATGCTTTTCAAATATCAGTCATCTAAATACAGTTATCCTATAGAAAAGAAAATTAGGACTACTTTAAACTATATAGACCTATACTCTAAAATAATTGGATTATGTGTTTGTTATTAACACAAGTTTGCAGACCATTTTAGTTTTCACTTATATTTCACTATTTAAGTTAATATGCTTACATGTAAAGGAAGAACTTGCAACATTAAAATAAAGATTGCATATATAATTCCTGTTTGATTTAATTGGACTGAATTATGCATTTGCTATTAAACAGGATTGCAGACCCTTTTAGTTTTCTCTTTGTTGGTATGTCAAATCCTGTAAGCTCCCATATAAAGGAAGAAGTAACAAGATTAAAATAAAGATTGTATCTGTAATTCGTTTAAGTTAAAATAAAACAAACACCACAAGCTGCTTTTCTCAAAGTGAGACATGACACAGGAGAGCTTGTTAAAACTGATTCCGGGATCCATCCTTAGGGTTTTGGATACTGTAAGCAGGAGAGGGACCGAAGAATTTGCATTCTAACAACTTTCTTGATGATAAATAAGTGTCTGAGGGTAATGCTCCCAGTTCTGTCCCAGTTATATAAGAATCATTGCTAGAAAGTATTCAGGTTCAAGCAATTTGTCTTATGCTAAAATAAAACTTCATTTTATATATAAGCAATTACTTGTAGTTTTTCTTAGTACGCAATTAAGATACTTATTTAATCAAGCTTACTATGTAAAATCATTTTAATGATGTATGTAATACACTGAGATACTTCCAAGCATAGAATTTATTGACTCAATACAATATTTTGAATTTCTTTGAAAATATTTCTTTTTTACTTTTAAAATATTTCTGAGGGATAGAGCGATACCACAGCAGGTTGGGCTTTTGCCTTGCACGTGGCAAACCCAGGTTTGATTCCCAGCATCCCACATGACCTCCAAGCACTGCCAGGAGTAATTCCTGAGTGCAAGAGCCAGGAATAACCCCTGTGCATCATTGGGTGTGACCCCAAAATAAAAATAAAAAATAAATAAAATAAAATAGTTCTGAGAAAAATAAAGAATTGTGCTTATATTTTAGAAATAAAATTATATTTCTTTGTATACTGCTTATTTTAAATGATAATACAGTAAAACTGACATTCTTTTGATGTGCAGTTCTATGTATTTTAATATAGGTGCATTTGTGAATCATGGTCAGGATGAAACAATCATTGTCACCCCATGCCTCTCTCATGCTATCCTTCAATAGGCACATCCTTTCCACATTTTAAAGTGGGGTTTTGTTAAGCTCTTTTCCTTATACAGTATTCAGACTCTTCTTTCAAAATGAAAATATCATGTTCATTAAGCAACTAAGAAATATTATCACTGGTTACCTCTTTTGTCACTAGGAGAGAATTACTTGATACTTTATTGTAGAATGAGAAGCAGTGACTGAGGTTGAGACTAATTTAGTTCATTGTTAAGAAAATAATTATGGATTTTTTCACTTTCTCTTCTCAGATCATCTTAGTATTCCCATTTATTGCAACAAAAAAGTGGAAAATACATTTTTGAAAGATATATATGCCTATGAATTTAGAATACTCAGCTCATGTTTACATATGGAAAAAGGTCATCTTCTGATCTGAGCTAAAATCCAGACTTTAGTTTCATTTCTAATACATTCAAGACCAAGAATCAATGGTTACATGGTAATAAGGCAGCAAGACTTAATAATTATGAACACTGGACTTTGGAATTAGAATGGTGAGTTAGAATCTCAGTTACATTAGCCATTAAGTGTTTGAACTTAGCATGTTTATTAATTTATCTAGTCTCAATTTCTTCTTTAAAATGGAAAGAAGGAAGATAGCTCAAAAGAGTTGAGCACATGCTTTGCTTGCACAAGTCCTCAATTTCAAACCCCAAAGATCCATGTGTCCCCTAAACACCAAAGAGTGCAACCCTTCTGGGTATCAACGGAGAGGTCCCTTAAAATTTCATCTAAAACACGAATGAATCAGAAATAATATAGGAACTATTTTATCAGATGCTTCAAAGACTAAATAACATGTCTTAATGACTTAACAGTCATTATGTGTCTGGCACATAGTAAGAAGGTTATGTAAGAATTAATGTGAAAAGTTTAAATTTTTATCATAGCATTATTATTTTGTATCATTATTTTACTCTTATTTTAATATCATTTCATTATAATTAAAATAAGGCTAAGACTTTTTTTAAATTACCATGGAGGTAGAAATGTTTTTTCTTGAATCTTTTATGTGAGATAAGAGAAACTATTTTAATGACCAGGAGAATAAACTTATATGCCTAAAATAAAGATAATGTTTCCTAGTTTGACTTAAAACTACTAAAATGGTGAACTTTCTGTTGCTTTTGAGAAACTTATGATGTGGTTTGAATACTGAATTAAGTTTAAACAAACTACACTAATCTGAGGATTTGATACTTTGTGTAATACACTCCGTGCATTATATATGTCATTAATACTGCAGCCAGTATCATCTAGAAATTTGCTTCCCATTGGCTAAGAAAGCATGCTACTCTTTGGGGTAGATCTTGGGACCAGAAACTGTGTCTACACAAGTTCTGCTTTTCTTTTTAAAAGATTTGAGTGTGGAATTTGCATTTACTTTTGCAACTTACATAGTTCCTTCCTATATTAGGTACCAGATCTATAAATCTCCGACTATGCCCATTTCCGTATTTATTTCCTTCTAAAAACAAACAAAAACATGCTCCTAACTGTAGAGGGATCCACTCTAGCAAGCTGCAGTGAATTGGGCGGTATGACTTTAAGATACACATGACATGGAGAACACATTTTAATGTCCATATTTAGTCTTTAACTATTTCTATGTGACTTTATGGTATGCTACTCTATCTGGCACAGAGTAAAGAGGAAACAGGTCAACAACAGCACAATGCTATATCTTTAAACAGTTTATATCCTATACCCTAGCATAGCAACCAGACAGAAACATTCAGAAATTTCCGTCAGGATCATAAACAGGGGGCCATGGAGACGGCTCAACGGACTGGAGTGCATGCTTTGCATGGATATGTCTGGGTTTGAACCCCTGACACTGCATGATCCTCTAAACATCAACATGAGAGACTCCTGAACTGCACACTCAGTATGGCCCCCAAACAAAAACAAACACAACCATGAAAAACGGCTTGGGTACTCTGTACTTACAGAAAAGGCAAGAACAAAAAATATCTGCTGAGAGTGCCAGGAATAGTCACTAAGCTCAGTTAGGTGTGATTCTAACCCCAAGCCTCCCAAATGCCCTACTGAATTCAAGTCTCCTACCTAGATAGCAAAATTGTTATTTCATCCATGATGTATTATTTGGACTGGAAATCACATAGTAAATCAGTTTAAAAGAGGAAAAACAGGGCTGGAGTGATAGCACAGCAGATAGGGCATTTGTTTTGCACGCGGCCGACCCAGGTTCGATTCCCAGCATCCCATATGGTCCCCTGAGCACCGCCAAGGATAATTCCTGAGTGCAGAGCCAGGAGTGATCCCTGTGCATCACCGGGTGTGACCCAAAAAGCAAAAAAAAAAAAAAGAGGAAAAACAAAGCCGGAGAAATATTACAGGGGTTATGATTTATATATATGGCTGATTCTGCACCACCCATGTTCCTCCAAGTACCGAGGTGTAAACAGAGAGACAAGCATAAACCCTGAGCACAGCTAAATGTGGTGCCAAAACTAAAGATAATAATAAACTGTGAATTAGCTTCACATTTATAAATGAGATTAAGATTGAAAATAGGAGTATTTTATCAGCCTTCTCTTATCACATCTGAAAAGTAATCATACCATTATGAAATTTGAAAAACTTCAAATTATGGGTATTTATTTTGCAATTAAATGAAAATAATGGCAAATCAATAAGTTATTAATGCAGTTCCTGTTCTAGACTCCCTCAAATTTATATGACTTTTCTAAAGAAATAAAGGACATACAGATTTTATTTTTAACAGCACTTAAATAATTACTTTCTATGAAATCAGAGCAATCTTAGGAAACAAAATTTCAAGAAAATGAAATTAATATGTGAAGACTACAAATAGGCCATAGTGCTACTTCTGTATGGTTTCTGTTACCTGTACCAACCACATATATCATTTCATTCTAAACTAAGCCCACAGCCAACATGGCCGACCCAAGTTCGAGTTCTCTGCCCCTCTCGGAGAGCCCGGCAAGCTACCGAGAGTATTCGATATGCCAGACACAGTAACAACAAAAGTTTCCAATGGAGACGTTACTGGGCCTGCTCGAGCAAATCGACGATCAACGGGAGGGCCTTTACCTTTTTTACCTTTTAAACTAAGCCCAAAGTCTATTGCTATGTATATGTATTTTACATATGCTCATTCCTTGAAATTTTTATTAATTTTCCTAAATTTGAGTAAAGAAACTGATGTGTTGAGAAGAGATCCTAACTCTAACATTATTTTTAATTGATTATTTAAAAAATGAATCACTGTGTGATACAGCTACAAAGTTGTTCATGATTGGGGTTCAATCATACAATGTTCCAACACCCTCACCAGTGTATATTTCCCACCACCAATGTCCCCAGTTTCCTTTCTGCCAATGCTTGCCCCCCATCCCAGCCAGCTTCTATGGCAGGTACTTTTCTTCTCTCTCCTCTCTCTCTTTAAGTCTCTCCTTTTGCCTAACCCTAACATTCTACTTAAAGATGAAAATAAGAGTATTTCCACTTAAAAATGTGACATGTCTTTATGTCTGGGTTAATTACAGCCAAAATTGAAACTTCAATGTCATAATATTAATTCACACTTGATTATAAATGGCTCACATTACCTTCACCAAAATGTGAAATACCCTACTAGCTGTATATGAATATATCAGCATTCTTCAGTGAGCTATGAATCATAACAAAATGTGTATTATCTTAGCA